GCCACCATCTGCGGCGGCGCAAGGAGGCCTCGCTGTAGCCGTTATCCGCCCTGTGCCTCTCAGGGGCTAGTGGGATCGATGTTAAATAAGATCGATTCGATGCCTGGCCGTGCTATGCAAATTGCCTTTTTATTTTTTTCTTGCATTAATATCAATATTATTAAAGCTAATACTGGGATGTAATTGTCTTATCTCAGTGGAGCCAGGGAAATGCGACCAGCTGAAATGGCATGTTGATTTAGTGGTGTTATTTTTCAAATGTAAGCGATGTGTTATTGCAGATAAGATCAATATCAGCATTAACGGATCTGCAGTTTACTTCATTATGTAAACTCTGTGGTAGTTGAACTCATTTTCCTTCAGTTATTCACATCAGCCATAATGGGTAATGTCTCTATAACGATCTGCATTATAAACCTTTGCGGATCAAAAACTATCATGGATAATTTGTCATTAGGGCCATTTGTTCTAATAACAACATTAATTACAAACCTGGTAATTTAACTGAGATAGCAATGAACCGCAAAGATCTATCTGAAGCCCAGCGTGCCGGAGGTGGGAAGCATTGTGGCAGGCTAGAATATGATCTTTTACTGAACCCAAGGAAGGGCCTTGCCTTGTTTCGGGGACGGTGGGTTAATCCGGCCGACTCCACTGCAGTGAACAGCCGAGCGTGCAGGGAAGCTGCCGCATCAGTTACTTAGGCAAGCGGCGGTGTTGGAGCCCAGCCCGCCGGCACAGAGGCACCTGGATCTTGGTGCCGTCGTCCCACAAGTGCCTGGCGCTTTGGGGACCAGCAGGCTGTCGCTCGCACTGGGGTCGGACTAAGGCTCCTGCTCTGCACATGGGCCCTTCACTTGATGCTCAGAGTCTTCCTTGGCCTCACTCAAGCTTCCCGAAGCCCCGTTTTGCTATTGCCTTGCATGAGCTTTTCCTGAACTGCGTGAGTAGTCCCCTAGATTTAAGGGGGCACTTCTTTTTCTATAACTAAGTATATTAATTAATCTTAGATTGACAGAGAAAAATAAGTTACATTGTTCTCGTGACCACAGAGATATCGGTGGCCAGAACAACAGCTCCATCAGCTGCGAGATGAGCAGTACTCAGTGCCGGAGACCAGCCTTTCCTCAGAAGTGATGCATAACCCTGGCACTCGTTCCTGGGAAAGAGAGACCGTAGCGCTCGCTTCTCTCACAGTAACTGCAAAACGTAGCCTTGGATTCCCACACACACCACACACCACAGAAAGGTGTTGGCAGTTCCGGCCTCGGAGCACAAATCAAACAACGCCCGCTCACTGCATGCTGCCGGGGCAGAGGTTACACCGAACAGAGCTGCATTTTTCGTTGTTGTTGTTGTTTCCCGTAGCGGACGGTCATTA